GGTATCCCAAGGATTCTCGAGGTGGCCCAGGCGGCCTCCAGGCCACCCCTCACGAGGCCCCGAGGACCCCAGGGGCTCCAAAATGGAGCGAAAAGCTGGGGGCACCTTGGGCCAGGCGCACTTCTAGCAACACCCGAGGCCTGCGCGTTTGTGAAAAAGCCCTGGGACACACAGATAAATACACACACGCACATCGAAATTATCCCCTACATTTCCTATCATTTTCTGGGCTTTCGTCTTCCCACTTCCATATGTTCGCAGATTTTCCTGGGGATTGACGATTCCTTGTGTCTGTGTCTTTGTTTTCCCTCCCGAGTGTGGTCTCTGCCCAGCCTCGTCTCGTCTCTCCCGCCGCCTCCGCCCTCCGGAGGCGGCGGTGGGATGGGCGCGGGGACGTGCAGCCGCCCCACGGAGGGACTCCGGCTCTTCGCGGCGCTGTTTTTTCCCGGAAAGGGCGGGGGCCCAGGGTTCTCTTTTAGTAGGTAAACCTGTCCCCCGGTGCCAACTTGAGGGAGGCCGGCGAATTTTTTCCCTGATAAATAACGAGGTCGAAGGAGGCCGGCGAATTAAAATTTGAGGATGTCTCGAGCGAACGTTTGTTTTTTGAAATCCCGATCGATAAATCACAGGGTGCGGGCCACTTTTTCGTGTGTTGAGGATGTCTCGAGCGAAACGCTTGCTCCGCAGAGTTTGCCGAGGATGTCTCGAGCGAAACGCTTGTTTTGCAGAGCCGACCGCGACGCGGAAAGCGCCCCGCGCGAAGGAATTTCGATGATGTCTCGACTAATTCCTTTGTTTTTGTACGATTTCCTGGAATTTTGGCAGGATGTCTCGAGCGAAATGCACGACCCCACCCTAGCACGACCATACCCCAGCACGACCACACCCCAGCACGACCAGACCCAGCACGACCCCACCCCAGCACGATCCCACCCCAGCACGACCCGAACCCCAGCACGACCCTAACCCCCAGCAAGACCACACCCCAGCACGACCACACCCCAAGCAACGACCTCACCACAGCACGACACACCCCAGCAACGAACAAGCTCCCAGCACGACCACGCCCCAGCACGACACGCCCCACCACGACCACCCCCACACGACCACCCCCCCAGCAAGACCACCCCCGAGCACGAACAACCCCCCCAGCACAGACACCCCCAGCACGACCACTCCCCATCACGACCACACCCACACGACCACACCCCAGCACGACCACACCCCAGCACGACCACACCCACAATCACGACCACAACTCACCCCGCACGACCCGATCGTAAATCACGAAGTGCGGAGCACCCATCACGAACCACCCCCAGCACGACCCCACCCCACAAGACCCCCCCAGCACGACCACGCCCCAGCATGACCACACCCAGCACGACCACACCCAGCACGACCACACCCCAGCACGACCCCACCCCAGCACGACCCCACCCCAGCACGACCATAGCACGACCACACCCCAGCACGACCACACCCCAGCACGACCCCACCCCAGCACGATCACACCCCAGCACGACCCCACCCCAGCAAGACCACACCCCAGCACGACCACACCCCAGCACGACCTTCGACCCACAGCACGACCACGCCCCAGCACGACCACGCCCCAGCACGACCACGCCCCAGCACGACCACGCCCCAGCACGACCACCCCCCAGCACGACCACCCCCCCAGCACGACCACCCCCCAGCACGACCACCCCCCAGCACGACCACACCCCAGCACGACCACTCCCCAGCACGACCACACCGCCTTGTTGAGTGGTTGCCTGTCGTCGTGGAATGTTTCGTGGGGTGTCTCGTGGAATGTTTCGCGGGGTGTCTCGTGGAATGTTTCGTGAGGTGTCTCGCGGAATGTTTCGTGAGGTGTCTCGTGGGATGTTTCGTGAGGTGTCTCGTGGGATGTTTCGTGAGGTGTTGCCCAGTTGGGTATCGTGAAAACGTGCCCATGCTCCACATGTCTATATCCCTTTCCGGGTTCGTGGGTCCATCATGTTCCCGGAAAGGGCGGGGGCCCAGGGTTCTCTTTTAGTAGGTAAACATGTCCCCCGGTGCCAACTTGAAGGAGGCCGGCGGATTTTTTCCCTGATAAATATCGAGGTCGAAGGAGGCCGGCGAATTAAAATTTGAGGATGTCTCGAGCGAAACGCTTGTTTTTGAAATCCCGATCGATAAATCACAGGGTGCGGGCCACTTTTTCGTGTGTTGAGGATGTCTCGAGCGAAACGCTTGCTCCGCAGAGTTTGCCGAGGATGTCTCGAGCGAAACGCTTGTTTTGCAGAGCCGACCGCGACGCGGAAAAGCGCCCCGCGCGAAGGAATTTCGATGATGTCTCGACTAATTCCTTTGTTTTTGTACGATTTCCTGGAATTTTGGCAGGATGTCTCGAGCGAAATGCACGACCCCACCCTAGCACGACCATACCCCAGCACGACCACACCCCAGCACGACCAGACCCCAGCACGACCCCACCCCAGCACGACCCCACCCCAGCACGACCATACCCCAGCACGACCACACCCCAGCACGACCCGACCCCAGCACGACCCTACCCCAGCAAGACCACACCCAGCACGACCACACCCCAGCACGACCTCACCACAGCACGACCACACCCGCCACCACGACACCCCCCCGCACGACCACGCCCCAGCACACCACGCCCCAGCACGACCACCCCCCAGCACGACCACCCCCCAGCACGACGACACCCCCCAGCACGACCACACCCCAGCACGACCACTCCCCAGCACGACCACACCCCAGCACGACACACCCCAGCACGACCACACCCAGTCGCACCCCCGTGGAATGTTTCGTGGCGTGTCTGGTTGAGTGGTTGCCTGTTCGTGGGGTGTCTCGTGGAATGTTTCACGGGGTGTCTCGTGGAATGTTTCGTGAGGTGTCTCGTGGAATGTTTCGTGAGGTGTCTCGTGGGATGTTTCGCGGGGTGTCTCGTGGGATGTTTCGTGAGATGTCGCCCAGTTGGGTATCGTGAAAACGTGACCATGCTGCACATGTCTTTATCCCTTTCCGGGTTCGTGGGTCCATCATGTTTTGTTCGCAGGGTCGGCTCTCGAGCTTCGGCGGCGCGATGGAGCCCACGCCGGCTTGGTGTGGACCGTCCGGGGCTATCGGACGGGGCCCCAGCAGACGGGGTCGAGGGGTCGCTCCGCCCTGCCGCCGCATCGGCGCTGCGGCGCCGATGTGGAGCGCGACGCTCCCCGCGCCGGCGGCGCCGATGTGCGGCCGGGGCGCCGAAGGAAGGACCGCTCCTCGGGCCCAGGAGGGGCCCGAGCCTTTTCGGGCCGTCCCTCGGGCCCAAGTCCGAGGGAGCCCGTCCGTGGCCGAGGCTCGCCGTGGCCAGGCGAGCCCCGCCGTCCTCTCTCGGTGGCGTGCTCGGTGGCGGCGCGTCGACTGCCTCGCCGACGTCGCTGCCCCCCCTTTCCCGCCGGCCGCGCGCTCGCGGCCGCGCGCCGCGGCGCCCGCGGCTCGGCCCGCCGCGCGCTCGCGGCGCCGCGGGTGGGTGCAGAATCGAAGTGCTGCACGGACGACGCCCACGCGTGCCCAGGGGGGGACAGCTCGGGCATCGCCGTCGTCGCCGCCGCCGCCGTGGTCGTCTTCGTCGTCGTCGTCGTCGTCGTCGTCGCGTCCGCGGCGCCTCGTCGGGCTGCCAGACGCACGAAGGCCGCCCGCAGGCCCCCACGGGGCGTGCCCGAGGGGACGCTCGGGACTCGAAGAAGAAAGCAAGGCATAGAGAAAAACGTGTGGCGGTCCGCGCGCATTTCTTGGGTCCCACCCCGTGCCAGACGCCGTCGAGAACGGGGGGCGGGGAGGGACGTACCACCACTCGAAGACGAAATCATCGCATAAGCATAAACTGTTGGCGGGCTGCACGGATTTCCTGGATCTGCGCTGGGCCCCCCCCCTGGCGCGCTCCGCGCGTTTGGGAGGGGGGTCCAGCTCAGATCCAACACATCCGCGCGGACCGTCAAAAGTTTATGTTTATGCCGCTGCTTGTTCCTCTTAGGGACGGATCGGGATGAGGGTGTCTCTACGCTCGTCTACGCGTGAGAGTGACCTTTAGTTGGGGTGACATTTGATGCGGTCCCACAGGGATCCCACCAGCAAGGGCTGGCGCGCTTGGATTGCCTGGATTTGACATCCCTCGCCGCCCCCGAAAGCCGCGCACCCAGGGTCGTTCCAGCGAAAGGTCACTCCTGCGTGCAGCCGATGGGCCTCACAAATGGGGTCCAGGGCGATAGGGTCGAAGCAGCGCGCTGCATGGCTGGTGCATCGGCGATGTGGCTCGATGTTGGGCCCGACTTTCTCCATGTCGACGTCGACGATGCATCGTCGACGTCGACTATGCATCGCCGATGTATCACCGATGCGGGGCGATCATCGGACCCCATCTACTCGGACCCCAGTTCGGAGGCCGTCAGTCCAGGCCTCCCAGATGAGGGCATAGTCTCCGCTTCCACCCCTGTACGTGTCTCAGCCTTTGTCTCTGTCTTTGGCTGTGCCTCGCGATCTCCCGCACTCGCAATCAAATCTGGTGTGCGCCTAGGGCCTTGCCATTGGGGGCTCGCGTGCGCCAGCACTGTCGCCAGATTCCCAGCCGACGAAGGGAATGGACGGCAGTGCGGCTTGCGAGCCAGGGCGACTTGATTCTGGGGAATGCGGAGGGTTCAGAGTAGATGGGGTCGGAGGTCGCGTCGCATCGCCGATGCATCGGCGGTGCGGCTGGATGTGGAGCATGATTCTCGTCACGACGACGGCGCCGATGCATCGCCAGCGTCGCCGATGCATCGACGATTTCGAGGTCACCGCACGGTCGGTCACCGCACCGTTTCGGGACTCCAAAAAAATTGGGAGTCCCATGGTGGTCGTTTTTCTCCAAATAGGTTTGCCTTATAGGTGTTCTAGTACCTTACAAATTGGTCCGTTGCCCCCCCCTAATTCCTATGCCCCCCCTACTTCCTGTGGCTATGCCTTCACCTATGCCTCTGCCTATTTATTTGGAGCCAACTCTGGCTGATATTTATTCATTGTCTTGCCGATCGGCGCGGGCCCTCTCACCCCCCCCCCGCCCATGGAGTAGATCTTGGCTGTTTTTTGGCGCCTGATTCACGCAGGTGCAGTCCCCCCCAGAGGACGCACGGTTCTTAACAGCCGCACTAAGCAGAGGTCCGGAGCCAGACCCCCCCCTCCCCCCCCTTCCGCCCAATGTCGAAACGCCGAATAAGAAAACGCTGACATGGGGCGACCTGGAGCGGCCAGGCACTTGAGGGCCTCCCCCTCCCCAGGGTTTGCTTCGGCCCGCGCCCCCGGCGTATATACATAGCATAAAGCAAGCAGAGGCAGGATCGGCGGCGAGCGAGCGGGGGAAGCAGAAGGCCTTCTCAGACGGCGGCGGGGCCTCGTCGAAGCCCTCCGGCCTTCTGAGAGTTTTTCTTTGTGTCTTCTGGGAAGGCTCAGAGAGCTTCGCAGAAGGCGGCTGGACTTCTGAGCCCTTTGGGGAGGCCCGCCCCTTGTCACTTCCCCACGGGCTCGCCGCCCACGGGAGTTGGGGAGACAGGAGACAAACGGCAAAATGCAGCGCGAGTTAGCACGCCAGAGCAGCAGTCCACCGGACAACTCCACTGCCTGGCGCCTCGGGGGGTGGTCAGAGTCATATTCCCTGAGGAAATTCCCTGGCAGCGCTCGGACGTGTGCATTTTTTCTTGTCGAAGAACATCGAGGAGCATCCTGGGCCATCGTAAGAAACATGTGCGCGCGAGATCGAAACCTGCACAGGAACTGGACGCCCGAGTTTTGGCCATACTCGGTATTGCGGCAGAGGTTTGTTTCTTCACGTTCGCAGCGGCCTGTGGGAGGTGCTTCGAGAAGAACGAGTTCTACGCCACGTGCCGGGAGTCCTGCACGGTCGGAATGGTCGAGGACGCCAGCCAGGGAGCTCTTCTCTCAACTTTGGTATAACGACAACGACACCGACAAGGACGACGACGACGAAGATGCCCTGGGACAGCCAGGCGCGGGGAGCGATGCTCTGTCTCACTCTGAGTCGGCGGCGGCCTGCTTCTTGGGGGGCGGGGGGGAGGGCCCCGGGGCGTTCAAATGGGATGCGACGCGAGCGTGCCTACAGTGCCGTTTTAATACATGCTCCGCGAGCGGATCATGGATTAAACATGCAGGGATCTAGCCTTAAAAACAACGCTGAGTTCATGTTCATGCATAAATGTACTCATCAATTGATCATGTATTACAAAGTCCGATATGCTTAAAAATCATATTATGAAAAAGTGCCCTTCAGACTGCTCCTCGCCATGGCGGCGCGCACAGGGGGCAGGGGGAGGGCGGAAGGCTTCTTAGAAGGAGGCTGCTTCTAGGAGGGCGCGGGCCCTGCATCTGTAGACAAGGCTCGCGCCTGCCATGTGTACCCGCGGACGACATGTGTACACCGTACCGCGTTGACGCCTCTCTAGGTGTCGCCGATCCTCGACCCAGGAGTGGTACGGTGCATAGTTTTCTGGCTCCCAGAGCCCTGCAAACTATGCACCGTACCGATGTGGAGCGGGGCCTGAACGGAGTCCAGACATGGTACGGTGCATGGGCGTCGCTCTCGTAGTGTAGTCAACCCGCATACGGCAGGTTCGCGTCGTGCCGACCAGCGGCGACCCCACCGCGTGCGTTTCAGGTTGGACGCCGCCCGTGGCCCAGAGTCGACCCGTCATTAAACGAAGCGACGTTCACGGAACGGCCGATCGTTCCTGTTTGAACGATCCCCGCGGTGTCAGGAACCAACGCCGGGGTCGACACGACGCGAACTTGCCGTGATGAGGATGAGCAAGTTTCTAAGTTTGCCCTTGCATCCTTCCCCTTCGGCCCATCCTTGGCCGCTTTCGCTGGCCGCGCCCCACCCTCAGTGTCGACGTGGCCTTCCAAGGCCCTTGCATTCTTATTGTGCATCCTCAGTATACGGGTTGACTGTATCATGTCTGTCCTGAGTCCTGTGTCACTTCCTCGTCCTCTTCATCCTGCCCCTAACCCTCGTGCCACCCTTTGGACCTCCCAGCTATGGTCAGGAAGGAAAGAACACACAGACACAATGAATCGTCGATTCCCCAGAAAACATAGGAAATATGGGAAGTGGTGGGGAAGACAAAAACCAGAAAAATATGGGAAAATATTGGGAATCTGCTTATTTGTGTGTATTTATTTGTGTGTCCTGGAGCCCCTTCATATGGGCAAGGAGGGCGGCGGAACGCGGCCAGGCTCCCGGGTGGGCCACAGGGCCACCCAGTTGGCCCAGGATTGCTGCCCTCACTGCTGCCAGAATTGCCACCTCCTCCTCCTCCTCCTCCTCCTCCTCCTCTGCCTCCTCCTCCTCTGCCTCCTCCTCCTCCTCCTCCTCCTCCTCCCCCTCCTCCTCCCCCTCCTCCCCCTCCTCCATCTACTCCTCCTCCTCCGCTTCAGATTGTTGCTTTTTCGGACGCTCTGGCCCGGACCCGCCAAGTGTGGGCCTTGCTGCGGCCAGCGTCGCCGTCACTGCTGTCGGAGCTGCGACCAGGAGTGCTGCCGGAGCTTCGGCGGGAGTCGCCCCAGGCCGCGACCCAGAAGGTCGGCCTGCAATACCGCCAGCATGGTGAGCTTCGGGGCCCACCAGGTCACGACGACGACGACGTCGTCGGCGCCAGCTCTTCAATTCCTGTTCCCGCGACGCCCCGCCATCATGGCCGATTTTCTCGGTGCTTCGCCACTGCCGCCCCCCCGCGACTTCGACATGGCCGCCACCGCGGTAGAACCCCCTGGCAACGGCGAGGGGTCCGCGGCCGCCTGGGGCCCCGAGGTGCGATGGTGGCGCGACCGCGCAGTGGTCGGCTGTGCTGGCGCTGGCGCGCCGCCCACGCGACGACGACGACGACGACGAGGACGATGACGAGGACGAGGACCGCGACGGCGGCGCTCCCCCACTTCCGCGTCTCCTCCCGCAGCGGCCTCGGCGTCGTCGCGGTGGGCGGTGTCCGGCGCGCTTCCCCCAAAAGGGTCCAGAGGGGGGGAAGCCGGCAGGGGAAGCGGGCAGGGACCACATGCGAACCCTACCCGTATGTCGGGCCTGTCCCTCTACAGGACGAATACCCAAACATAGTTTAATAAATAGTCTGGGGACGATTTAAAACAGTTATTTGTTTTGAATATTTGTCCAACATCCGCCTGTAGGGGGACACGCCCGACCTATCCCTACCCCACCACCCCACGATTTCTAAGGGGGGAGGCGGGGTGCACTTTGTTCGGGACCTCCCGAGCGAAGTGAACTACACCCCCCCTTCGAAATCGTGGGGTGGTGATGGGGTAGGGTTCGCATGTGGCTTCCTATTCGGGGGACGGGCCAGCGCCGGGAGGCGCCGCGAGAATCAGCTAATTACGCGAGCCGATTCGTTGTTCCCCCCCCACGCTGGGGCGCGAGGCGCCTGGAGCGGCACTCCTGGCACCACGTGCGTGCCCAGCGGCACGTTGGACGGCAGCGCAGACGTTGGCAAGACGTCTGAGAGTACAAGTCAACGATGCGCGCGGCCCAGCGTCATGCTGGGGCAGACTCGTATGCCCTGCGGGCCCTCTCTTTTTCTCTCTCACATTGGCCGTCGCCCAGCGTCGCCCGACCCAACACAGTTAGGGCGGCGAGATCTATACATGGGGCGTTCCAAAAGGGGCCCTGCATGCGAGGATCGAAGGAGTTGTCATCTCTTCCGCGGCGGAAGGCCGGCGGAAGTAAAACGAGGCCGCCTCCGCCTGCGGAAACCACCGGAAGTTTGGCGGAAGGCGGCGGAAGTAAAAAGTGCGCCCCCAAGAGGATTTCCATAATCGGCCACATGTCCACTGCCCATGGTCATGAGAGAAGGAAAAGGTATCCATACCGCTACCCTTCCCTTTTTGTAACCATTTTGGGCCTCCTGGGAGGCCCTCGTCGCCGCCGCTGGATTCGCCTCGAGATCCTGGTCAGAACGCACCTCTGGAGAGGTCTGGGAAGTAGCTGCATCAGTACCTATTTGGCCCCCTCCCAAAAGATATCCGCTGCCCCTGGTCCAGGTTCTCCCTGGGGCTAGGAGCGGTGTATGAGCCCTCCTGGCTTGGCCAGGGAGGCATAACAGCGAGCCCCTGATAATAAATCAGACCCTTCGCCACTGAGAATTAATTCTTCCCGGGCAAGAGAGTTGGTCGGGGGAGAGGGGCGGCAAGGCCGAAGTTCATTATCACGGGGAAAGTTACGAACCAAGGTGTTTGTCTTTTAATGTTGAGTAGCGGCATCACGAACGCGTGGGCAGGCAATGGGATTCTCACCATTCCAGCCTTCCCCGGTCACGACTGTGTGGCAGGGGTATATGATATTCCCACCATTTCAATTTTCCGAACTCACAAACGTGCGAACGTGTGGCACGGCTATTGTAGATGTTCACCAATGCAGTTTTCCGATGTCACGAAAGTGTGGCAGGGCTGTGGGATTCTCATCAGCTTAACTTTTCCGACGTCGTGCGACGACAACGATGACCTCCTCTTTCCTCGGCATACATCCCACATGCGACTTGCTGGGATAAATCGTTTATTATCCCCCCGAGACCCCGAATTTTACGATCCCACGGCACGAGCCAGGCAAAACGCAGTGGATATGTATAGATCTGGGCGCCCCACAACAGTCCCCCCCTACTCCGCCTTGCGCAGCGCAGGAGAGCGACGAGGCGGAGTTCCGGACCCCTTGGTCGTGCTACACCTGGGGCGCGCCGCCGCCAGAAGGGGGGGCTCGCCAGGGTGCCTGCACCACCACCGCGTGCTCCGCCGTCGTCGTCGCCATTCTTCTCGGGGAGACGTAAGACTCGAGTGCGCCAGAACTCGGGTTTCCTGACGTTTTTTTGACGAGCGCGTCCTGAATTTGGTCGGTGCAGCTTTCGTGGGATGTGTTGCAGCTCAAGGTCGCGCCAAATTTCAGGCTGGGTATCGTAATTTTCATGGTGGCCCCGTCGGGCCAACCCGACTCCCCCGAACCCGAGTCTTACGTTTCCCCGATACTCGTGTTTTTGGGCGTCGCTTGCACGCCGGATACTTCGCTTTTCGGTTGCCCCAATTAGTCCCGCGCTGGTGCGGATTGCCTCTGCCTCGCCGCCGACGACAAGTGTTTTTGGGCGTCGTGCCATTCCACACAGTCGGACCGAGGTATGAGATCGAGGCCGGCTCGGGGAGGGTACCCGAATGGTATTCGTGTGTGTGTGTGTGTCTGTGTGTGTGTGTCTGTGTGTATGTGGGTGTGTTTGGTGTGTGTGTGTGTTTGTGTGTGTTTGTGTGTGTGTCTGTGTGTGTGTCTGTGTGTCTGTGTGTCTCTGTGTGTTGGACGTTCTCGTGCGCCCTGGGGAGGGTGCCCTTGGATGTTCTGCTGCCGGCGGAGGGCCTCGTGCTCTTGAGTAACGTGCTTCTGGCTTGGGTCCGACTGTACCCCCTCCCCATCCTCCCGCTCCCCCCCCGAAATCTGCTGCATGCAGCTGGCTTCGGCCCCGCCGCCGGGCCCATTCCTCGATACATGGGGCGCCTCCCGGCACCGGGAAGCGCTGGGAAAAGCAGCCACGTGAGCGGGGTCTATCTGCCCTGACCTTTGCCATCCCCCCCTCCGCCCTCCCCCTCCCGCGGTCGCCCCGCGAGGCCGCCCGCTCCCCACGACGACGCCAAAGCCGCCGCAGGCGGCGCGCGCGGGCGCCCGCGCGCGCGGGCGCCGGCCCTCCGCGTGTCGACCACGACGCCGCCGACGACGGCGGCGGCGGCGACGGCGACGGCGGCGGCGGCGGCGGCGGCGCGGACGTCGGCGGCGGCGGCGGCGCCGGGACGAGGCTTCGCCGCTGGAGGGTCTCGGGCGTTCCTCGTGGGTCCTCGGCGGCCCGCCAGCCTCGGGGTGCTCTCCGGCAGCGGCGCCTCGCCGGGAGCGTGCCGGGGATGCGCGGAGCGTTCCGAGCGGCCGCCGGAGGCCCGAGTGTATCGGGATCGGCCAAGAGGGGGGTGATGATTGTCAGGGGGGGGGGGGGGAACACACAGACACAATTAATCGTCGATTCCCCGGAAAATGTGGAAAAATATGGGCAGTGTGGGGGAAGACAGAAACCCAGAAAATATTGGAAAATATGGGGAATCCTTTTATTTGTGTGTATTTTTTTGCGTGTCCCAGGGCCCCTTCAGATCGGGGGGGAGGGGTACAGGGGATACATGGCTGGGGCCATGATATTTCCCCAAATTCATGGCCGCCTCGTCTTGCTTCAGTACTCCAAGAGAAGAAAAAGCATGAACATAGACATTTGGCGCCGCTTTGCCGCCCCTGGCGCGCTCCGCGCGCCAGAGACGGGGGTCAAGCGCAGATCGAAGAGATCCGCGCGGACCGTCGGAAGTTTATGTTTATGCCGTTGTTTTCTTCTTCTGGGTACGTCCCCTGGTCCCGCCCTCTTCCGCGAAAGCGCCTCGGGACATGATTTGCAAGCCCCCCTCTTTCGCGCCCCATCCTTGGACGCCACCGAGTGCTAAGTCACAAAGGCAGGAGGCGAGAGGGGGGGAGGGGGGCACGGGGTGATGGTTGGAGGCGCATCGTATCGGGTCCCGAGTCGACGAGGCAGCGAGGATCCGCCACAAAAAATACATACTGACACCATCCAATGGATAATTCCTGGGCATCCGGGGAGGGTGGCGGTGCATAAGTCACCACCAGGAGCCAGCGAATCTACACACCACCGCCCTCGCTGAAAGCACATGCGCGCAAAATTCGTCGGAAGGCGTCTATGTATATTTTTTGTGGCGTAGAGGAGAGCGGGGCCTCCCATATGTCGGGGGAGGAAAAACCAACCAGACCTGATAATTGGCGTTTGCTACACGGCCCTGGGCGTTTACTGAACAGCCCTGCCCTGTTCCTTCCCTGGTGTGCGTTTACTAAACGGCTTTGCGTGTCGGGGTGGTTATTATGAGGGTGGATTTTCTGCTCTTTGATATGTGCTCCGCGCAGATGGGGGCGAAGGGTCGCGCCGCAGCGCCGATGCATCGCCGATGCGGCTCGATGCGGAGCCTGATTTGCTCCGCGCGGCATCGCCGATGCGCCGCCGGCGTCGCCGCTGCGTTGGCGATGCATCGGCGATGCGTCGCGATGTTCCGACCCCATCTACTCGAACCCCATATGGGCGGCCTCCCTAGGAGAACAGCGAGGGGGACGGGAACGAGGGGGACGAAGAGGACAGGGGCGGGGAAGAGGAAGAAGGAAGCGAGGAGGACAAAAGGAGGAGGAGGAGGAGGACGACGAGAAAGAGCGTGAAAAGGGCGAGGAGTGGGACGGAGAGAAGAGTGAGAGGGAGATAGCGGAGTTCAAGGCCGAGGATGAGGAGAAGAGGGGCGATACCGAGAATGAGCACAAGTAGGTTGGCGAGAACTCCAATGACGGTGGCGACGTCTACTGCGGTTGTGGCTTTGGCGATGACGCCGACTTCGCAGATGAGGAGTTGTTTTTAACATGGTAGCGAGGAACAGGAGGAGGAAACGGAGGACGAGCAACCGTGGCCTCAGGTTCGTTGCCCCATGTGTGCCAGGATGGCGAGGACGGTTGGACGGCAACGGGTCGCAGATTCGGAATTAGAGACGGGATGGTTTGGCGAAGTTAGAACGGGATCTTAGTTTATTTGGTAAGGTTTAGCGCATTTCCGGAGGCGCGCCATCGGACGGAAGTGACGACGTCTTCCATGAGATCGTTCACAGATGGCTTGCATATGAAGGGGGTTGCACCCTGAACGTATTTCATTCTCTTGTTTAGCCCGACAGTCCATGCTTATCTTCCTCCTCGTCGTCATTGTGTTCCTCCCCCCTCTTCGTCGTGATGTCCCTCCTCTCCCCGCATACAACAACCTCCTCTTCCCCCTCCCCGTACTCACTCCTCCTTCCCTGTCTGCCTTCCCTCCCCCTCCACTTCTTCCGCCCCTCCCTTCCCCCTCCACTTCTTGCCCTCCACTTCTCTCACCTCACCTTCCCTCTCCTCCTGCTTCCACCCTCATCCCTCCTCTCCGCTCTCCTCCCTCCCCCTTCCTTATTCCTCCTCCTTATCTTCCTGTTCTTTCTCATCCATCCCTCGGCATCCTCTGCCCACTCCTCCTCCCCCGTATGTCTTCTTTCACACCCCCTCCTCTCCTCTTCGCACCATCCTTGCACCATGGCGACTGTTGATGTTGATTCTGCGTGGCGTGAGTTGCGATGGTGCCGGCCGGTCCCGCGCGAATGCCGTCGGAAAACAAACACGGAAAGATGACAACCACATGTGCAGGCACGTACAGTCAGCGGCCTGAAGAAGGAACACCTGTTTTTTTTCAGGGGCTTGGTCGTTCCTTAGGCCTGCGTGCGTTGTTCATCGTTCCGCATGCGCTATGGATTGTGTATAATTCCTTCTGCGTTATTCCTTCGTAGCAAAGAGGCTTCGTTCCTTATTTCTCGATCCAAAGGTCAGGCCAATGACTGTACCATAACAAGGCAAACAGCCTCGTATACTCCTGCCCCTCCTGCTCAGTCCCCGGGGCCTCTCCCCTCCAGAGGAGGAGGTCTCCGCATCGGGGTCCCCAGAGGCAGACTTGCCGGTGGTCCCTGCGAGGCCAGTCGAAAGAAGCGACCCAGATCCCCAGTCCTCGATCGTTGACCCCTCCTCTTCGTCACCCCTCCTCGATCCTCCGTCCTCTGACCCGTCCCCTTCGTCACCACCCCTCCTCGATCCTCGTTCCTGGATCCTCCTTCATCGATCCTTCACCCCTCCCCCTCATCACCCCTCCCCTTTTGCCCCCCCCCCCCCCTTCCGTGCGCATCCCATCCGCGACCCCAGCACCTGGCCCATCACCGACCACCAAGCCACCCACCACGATTTGCCCTCATTTTCCAGTGGAGGGTGGGTTCGGGGAGCCGTACCCCACCCAACCCGAAATTCGGGTCTTCAGGAGGGGTTGGGGTTCGATTGGTAGGCAATCAATTTTGGAGCAGGCGCCAGCCGGGGCCAGGCGTGCGGGAGCGGGTCTGACCGGCCGGGCGGCCGAGTGGCCACCAGAGCCGAGTTTCTGCGGGAGTTCCCACGCCTCTCGGCCTGGCCTTCCTGCAGCTACGGCGGTCGCCAAATCCAGCCCAATCCGGCCTAACCCCGCTGCTCCTTCTCCCTCCTCCCTCCTCCTTCTTCCCTCCTCCCTCCTCCTCCCTCCTCCTCTCATCCTCCTCCTCCTCCTCCTCCTCCTCCTCCCCCTCCTCCTCCTCCTCCTCCTCCTCCTCCTCCTCCTCCTCCTCCTCCTCCGCCTCCTCCTCCTCCTGCGCAATCTGGAGTCCAATCTGGATTGGCTCAGTAGCCCTTCAATCTGCCCACGGGTCCTGCGCCGTTCCACGCCTCCAAGAAGTTGCCTCCTTCCCACCTTCCCCTCCTCAGACTCCAGACGTCGTGCTGTCCCGCAACGTTGGCCTCTGGAGGCCGCCACCCATTCCATGGGACCGGCTCAATTACATGTGTGATTGCTGTTCTTGATGCAGAATCCTGGGGAGGGCCCTCATGATGCCAGAGGCCGAAAGCAGCACAACAAAAACAGACCGCTGGCGTTTTTACCACGAAGGATCGGAGGCGGCCAAGAGAGGGGTGACGACTAGGAGGGGGGGACTCGATACGAGGGGTGACAACTAGGAGCGGTGACGACCAGGAAGGGGCCAAGAGAGGGGTGGTGACAACTAGGAGGGGTGACGACTAGGAGGGGGGGTGACGACTAGGAGGGGCCATGGCGGGGTCCACGATACCTCAGCGGATCTCGTGGCGCCTCGTCTTGCTTTCAGCACGTCCTGTGGTCCCCCCCTGGGCCGCGCCCATGCCTCTGGCCATGCCCTGGGAGCTCCCCTCTTTCGCGCCCCGCTCTTGGACGCTCCCCCGAGAGCCATGCGAGAGCAGGGGCGGAGGCGGGAGGGAGGGAAGGGGAGGGAACGAGGGAGGGAGGGAGGGAGGGAGGGAGGGAGGGAGGGAGGGAGGAGGAGGAGGAGGAGGAGGAGGAGGAGGAGGAGGAGGAGGGCAAGGAGGACGAGGAGGAGTGGAGGAGGCGGAGGAGGAGCTGGAAGCGGAGGAGGAGGAGGAGGAGGCGGAGGAGGAGGCGGAGGAGGATGAGGAGCGAGTGACCCCCCTTCGTGGACGCCACCCCCCTTTGGGGCGCCCCCGGGAGGAGGTGGGCCGCGATCCTTACGTATCTCCCGCCCCTCCCGATGGAAGGTTTCTCCGCAGGGCTTAGGCGACCCATCCTCCTCCCTCCTCCTCCTCCTCCTCCTCCTCCTCCTCCTCCTCCTCTCCTCCTCCTCCTCCTCCTCCTCCTTCTCTTCCTCCTCCCCTCCTCCTCCCTCCCCTCATCCTCCGCCCTCCGCCTCCTCCTCCCCTCCTCCTCCTCCTCCTCCTCCTCCTCCTCCTCCCTCCCCCTCCTCCTCCTCCTCTCCTCCTCCTCCTCCTCCTCCTCCTCCTCCTCCTCCTACTCCTCCTCCTCTTCCCTTCTTTCCTCCTCCTCCTCCTCCTCCTCTCCTCCTCCTCCTCCTCCTCCTCCTCCTCCTCCTCCCCCTCCTCGCCCTCCCCTCATCGGGTCGCCTACGGCCCCGGGGGAAACCGTGCACCTCCCGCGCCGGGCGCAGGCGCACGTCTCTCAGGAGCCCGCCCCGTGCAAGAAGCCGTCGAAAACGAGGGGCGGGGAGGGCCGTGCCACGACTTGGAGGCGAATCGGAGGTGGATAGACCTCCTACCCTGACACGTCGATTAGTGAATTTGCCGTTTTCGGTTCTTGAGAGGGCGTCGCGGCCGTCATCTTTGCGGGTCCAGGTCCGTCGGTTTTGGTCCCAGGCCGTTTTCATTAAGGGGAGGTTTACTAAAGGGAGGTTTATCCACCGCCGAGCGAACACAACAGCTGCATAAACCTAAGCTCTTGGCGGTCCGCGCGGGTTGCCTGGATCTGCGCTGGGACTCCCTGGCGGCGCCTCCGCGCGCCAGGGAGGGGGCTCGAGCGCCGATCCAGGAAATCCGCGCGGAGTTCCGAGACATTTCGTCTATGCCGTTTTTTGTCCCTGTACAGTCGGACCGACGTATAAGGTCGAGGTCAGTTCCGGGAGGGTGCCCTAACGGTCTTCGTGCTTGTCGGACGCTCTTGTGCATCATGGGGTCGGGTGCCTTTGGATGGATGTTCTGTGCGTGTTTGGCCGGCAGAGGGTCTCGGGCTCTCGAAGGATGTTCTCATGTGGCCCAGGTCTGGTTGTATTGTAGTGCCACGCCTGGCCTCAGACTTGTGCCGCAGAACGGGCCGCCGGGGCGAAAGCCCCGCTGCGCGCCGCGCCGAGGCAGACGATCGAGGAGGCCGAAGCGGGGGCAGTCGAGTCGAGGCGGTTCACAGTCGCATCGAGGTATAAGATCGAGGTCGGCTCGGGGAGGGTACCCCAACGGGTTTCGTCTTGTTGGATGCTGTGAACGCATTCTGGGGGAGGGTACCCTCCAGTGATCTCATGGTTTCGGGTGTTTTGGCCCGCGGAGGGTCTCATGTTCTTGAAGGATGTTCTTTTGGCCCAGGTCCGACTGTAGGTGGAGGGGGGGGCGCTTCTTAGAAGCGCCCCTCCTTCTCAGAATGCGCGGGCCTGACCTATAGGTGCAGGGCCGGCGACTTCTCATAAGCAGCCTCCTCAGAAGCCTTCCCCCCTCTCCCTGCCCCTCTTTGTGCGCGCCGCCCACAGGCCTCCCGCCTTCATGCGCAGGTCCCCGAGCACTCGACCCCTTCCACGCGTCCAGCTTCTCGTCGCGGAGAGTCGATGGCGCCCACGGGGCCCGTCCCTGCCCAGTCGGAACAGGACTCGACTTGCTCGCGTGGCCGCCGACGTTCTCCAGACGGTCCGAGCGCCTCCTGCCGCATTCCGACGCCAGCCCGCCAGCCTCCTCCGACTCTGCCCCCACCCCCCCAGTGCCCGACTCCGGCTTCGGTTTGGAGCCGCCGGCCCCTTGCTCAATTCGTCTGCGGCCTGGCACGGCACCAACTCCAACCGTTATGGAGTGGCCAGCCTCCCCCGCAGATGCAGGGCTTGTTTTCCACCACCGCCACCATGAGTTGGAGGGGAGAAGGAGGAGGAGGAGGAGGAGGAGGAGGAGGAGGACGAGGAGGAAGACGAGGAGGAGGACGAGAGGGAGGAGGACCCCCTCCCCCCCCTCCAACTCCTGGTGGCGCTCGTGGAACACCGGCGGCCGTCGGCAGCTGCTTCCGCCTCGTGCCTGGCGCCCCGACGCCCACCCGCGACCGCCCGCGCGGGCGCTCCCCTGCCGGGCCTGCTCTGCTCCGAGCGAAGACCGTGTCGGGCCCCAACGCCCGCGGCGGGGCGCGCGCTCGCTAGCGGTTGTCGGCCGCGTTTCGGTTGTCTTCAGTGGCCGAGATGAGTGGCGAGGGGTCAATGACCGAACGCGTAAAAGGTAAATGGTGGGCAGTCAGTCAAGCAGTGGCGAAGCGTCCTAGCTCGCCTGTAGGCCTACCGAACAATGTGTTAAGAACTCTTTGAGGTTCGCATGCGATGTTCCTAGAACACTTCTGGATCAGGCTGTCTTGTTCAATACATCGGGCTTATGTTATAAAACAGTGCTTTTGTTTTTCGAACATTTTTTGGGGTTCTAAGAACATGTCGTGGTAGGCCTATAGGGATGCCGGGACGGTCAGTCCCTGCTCAAGTCAGAGCTCTAGACCTTGCAAGGTCCTGCAGGGCCAGGGTCGCAGTGACGCGGGCTTGGGTGCAAGGTCCTGCAGGATGTTGCAGGATCTTGCGGGATTTTGCGAAGCCTCACTGACCCAGGCTTGGATTGACCAGGGTCAGTAGATCCTCGACGGCCCAGCTGCGAAATCGGAACCCTACCCTCGCCGATGAACGATTCAGGCGACCCGATGGGCGGCGGGGGTGGTGTTCGGAATTCGTCGAACACGGGTCGATCCTTGTTCCTTATTAGAATATACCCCCACCTACCTCGTATTCCGGCCGATAGGGGCCCAATCCGGGACCTCCCATCCGGACTGTAAAAAACAATACAAAGTGGCCGTTTTTCTTCTCAACATCGTCTTTCTTGTCGTCGACGATGCGAAAAGCGTGGCAGGAATGGGACGCGGCGCACATCGCGCGCGGCAGTCAATCTGGGGCCGCCCATCCTGACTTTCAAAAATCAATACGAAGTCTTCGTTGTTTACTCCCAGCATGGCCTGCCTTGTCGCCGACGGTGCGAAATATGTGGCAGCAGTGGGACGCGGCGCACATATGGGACGCGGCGCACATCGCGCGCGCGGCCGTCAATCCGGGCCCGCCCATCCTGACTGTAAAAAATCAATACGACGTCTCCGTTTTTTCCTCTCAGATGGCCTCCCTTGTCGCCGACGGTGCGAAATATGTGGCACGAATGGGACGCGGCGCACATCGCGCGCGGACGTCCATGCGGGCTGCGGACCCTCCCATCCTGATTGTAAAAAACAATACCGAGTTGCCGTTTTTCCGTTCATCATGGCCTGTCTTGTCCTCGACGATGCGAAATGCGTGACGGGAATGGGGCGCAGCGCACAGCGCGCGCGAACTTGTGGGGCAACCCCAAGGCGGGAGGGGCCACCTTACTTGTCAGAAGCAATGTCATGCTGATTTTCCTTGCCCACATAGCTGTTCTTGCCGTCCACCCCGCAAAAGTGCATGGCAAGAATTGGGCGCGGCACACCCCCCTCCCCCCCCCGCTCGAAGTGAATGAAATGACCTTCCCGCTTGGGCGCCGAGCGACATTTTCTCAAAGTTGCGCTCCCGCTTTGGCTCGGCGCACGTTTCTAGCTCGCCAATTCATTGGGCGCCGGGGCGTTCCAGGAGGCCCTGGGGTGACGAATGCCTGGGAGGTTTTTGCTTGTTCAGGCTCTTGGAGGGCCTCGAGAGGCTCCCCGCGGTTTCTTGGCGCTACGGCCGTCTGGAGGCCATCTTGGGCGTCTTGGAACGATCTTTCGGCGACTCAGGGCTACTACTACTACTACTACTACTACTACTACTACTACTACTACTACTACTACTACTACTACTACTACTACTACTACTACTACTACTACTACTACTACTACTACTACTACTACTACTACTACTACTACTACTACTACTACTACTACTACTACTACTACTACTACTACTACTACTACTACTACTACTACTACTACTACTACTACTACTACTACTACTACTACTACTACTACTACTACTACTACTACTACTACTACTACTACTACTACTACTACTACTACTACTACTACTACTACTACTACTACTACTACTACTACTACTACTACTACTACTACTACTACTACTACTACTACTACTACTACTACTACTACTACTACTACTACTACTACTACTACTACTACTACTACTACTACTACTACTACTACTACTACTACTACCACTACCACTACGCGCCAGCACCCAGTTGCGCCAGCATTGTTTCTTATGTTGTGGGAGGGCGGAACGTGTCCGTTCTTCCTTTCAACATGGCCAGTCTTGTCGTCGACGTCGCGAAATTCGTGGCGGGAATGGGACGCGGCGCACATCCCGCGCGGACGTCAATGCGGTGTCCTGGGGCATCCTCCACTCGCACCGAAATGCCCGCGCAACCCCCAGTTGTGCCATCACTGTTTCTTATGTTGTGGGAGGGCGGGTGGGAATGGGCACGCCATGCTTGACTCGCTCGAGCTGGCTAGCTTGACATCCGCACCCTACCCCCGCCTCCCATCGACTCAGGGGAACGATAGTTGGTGGGGTGGGGTCTGGATGTCGCCACTTGCCCTGTCGCCGCCCTGGGCAGCGACAGCGGGGACCGCTGGGGGCGAAAGCGGGGACCAGCACCCCGCGGGGACCTCCAGAGGCGGACCTCAAGAACCCTCCGGGGGCTTCCAGGCTGGTTTCTTGCACCATTTCTCGGATTCAGAAACTCTGGTCTTGATCTAAAGCAATCGCTTCAGTGAGTCAAGACACTGTTTTTTCCATGACCAGTCGCATTTATTGTTCAAGAAGCCGAGGCATCCGAAATCCTCCCCCGCTGTCGTCGTGGGTATCTCACGTTTTGTCGCTTGTTCTTGCGGCCTGGAAGTTGTATCTTTTTCACACCAGCCGTTTTCGCCCAGAGATGCAGCTCGAGAAATGTCTCGAGGAAAACAAGGTCGAGGTCACAGCCTTTGATGTCTCACGATGTTTTGTTTTTTTCGCTCCGTTGGATCTCAGGGGTGGGTCTTTCGGATGGCGCACGTGGCCAAGTCTGCTCGCAGCGGCGTCCAGGTGCACAGATCATCCGTTCACAGGGATTATCAGTCACACCTCTCTCCAACACGTCAAGTGGACAGTCGCATCACGTGCGGCCAACCGCCGCGATCCCCACACGGACGCGACTGAGCGCGAGTTGGGCTCCAGGCGGTATTGCACGACGCATGCCGACCCCATCGCCGACACCGTCTTCACGCGGGCCCCGAGAATGCTCAGGCCGGTCGGGCCGAGGAACCAGGGAACCACGGAACCAAGACCAGCGAAGCAATGGAACGCGGAGGCGAGGGACCACGACCAGAACACCATCGAACCACGACCAAGGAAGGCAGGGAGCCTGGCAAAGTCCTGCCATGAGGGACGCAGCCAGGGCCCTGGCATTTCTCGGGCGTGAGCACGTTTCCTCGGCGGAGACGATCGAGGAGCATGGACCATCTTGCCAACGGTACACGCGCGGAGTCGGACAATGCACCAGGAGTGGACGTCCGTAAGACGGCGAGAAGAACCAAGACCGAAGACTGAGTTAAGAGAGCGCGGGCAACGCTTTGCAAGGGAGGACCGGAGAACACCGAGAACCCCCCCCCCCCCGTAAGGAAAATAGGCCGGGGAGCCCCGAGCTCTCGAGGAGCCCCAGCGCGACGGGCCGGCAGCTGCTGGTTTTCGACGGGGGCAGGGCCTGATCTGGGGAAAGGACGGACCATTGTAGGCGACAGTGTCTGCACTCGGGCCGAGGTATAAGATCGAGGTCGGCTCGGGGAGGGTGCCCTGACGTTCTGCGTGCTCGCTGCATGCTCTTCTTCGCCCTGGGGGGGGTACCCTTGGGTGTTCTGTGCGCTCAGGCCGACTGAGGATCTCAAGTTCTCGAGGGGTGTTTTTCTGGCCCAGGTCCGAATGCACCAGACACGTAGCAGCGCAGCACAGCGTGGCGAAACGAGAGGCAACCAGACTGAGAGCAACTAGTACGCCCTGATTTCCGGGCGCGCTGGTTCCGTCAACGAGGGATAAGTCCGAAAAGGTAGTGGCCTGCCAACATGCTGGACGGCAGAGCTGGGACAGCGGCAGCGTGAGGTGTTGGTTTTGTTTCATGCGGCCCACCGTACAGTGCCGTTTTTGAGACATGCTCCGCGTGCGGATCATGTGTAAAAAACACAGGGATTTAGCATTCAAAACAACGATGAATTCATGCATGAATGTATTCATAAAGCATTCATGAAAAAATCCGATATGCTAAAAAAAACCATGTATTAAAAACTGCCCTGTATGGAACCCTCAGCGGGGCTGCCACGCCGCAGCGGGGCGAAACAGGCCAGCGGTTGCCAGAACACCGTATAGCTAGAACTGACGTGAGCAGCCCTCGCACGCGTGCGAATTGAAGGCCATCGCAGGAGCTTGCCAGATGCTGGCTATCGGTGTAGTTGGAGTCACAGCTGCTCGGTCCTGCAAGTGCACCCTCGGCATCTGCACAGCGAGCGATGCGAACGCGAGAAGAGCAGCAGGAACAAACAGGGTGCTGCACATACCTAACTTCGCATGTACCCAGACAATGCCCAGATGGGATTGCACACGTTGAGAAAGGAGGAGGCGAACGAGCGGGATGATGGCTCCAAATCCTCCTTGCGGAGAAGACGGAGGAGTGATGAGTAGGCGGCGGAGAGGGTGGAGGCGGCCCCCAGGTCGGGAATGGAGGAGGACGAGGAGGAAGAGGCACAGGAAGAGGAGGACGAAACGCGGAGGAGGAGCAGGAGGAGGAGGATGAGGAGGAGGAAGGGTACTCTTGGGTTTCTTAATAAGCGTGTAGGCGGTATCCCCCCGACGGGGGTCAACCTTTTCTCGTCGTCGCGCCGCGACGGGGGTCGGAGCGCCTTCGGCGCGCGGTGGCTGCCGCGACGGTGGTCGATGCGGGGTTGTCGGCGGGGGTGATGCCCTCCTGACGCTTACTGCGAAACTCGGAGTAGGATCAGCATTTGGTTGGAGAGCGCAGTTGGTTAGCTCCGCTCATGCCCTTCATCCTGCTGCAAGGATTGGACTGGACTTCTGGCCGCTTCACTGGCAACAATGTCGCTAAGGAGGAGGAGGAAGAGGATGATGAGGAGGAGCAGGCGGAGTCGGACGAGGCTACGACGAGGATGCATCCGTTCCAGGGCGTTCGGAACGGAA